TTTCTTTGGGTGATGGGCCATGGTGTGGTGTACAGATGATGTTTTTATGAATTGTACACTTGAAACATGTATAGTTTTGTGAACCAATGTCACCTCAATAAATTAAATTAAAAAATTTATTTCCTGTTTTCTTCTAGGAGTTTATGGTTTTGGGTTTTACATTTAAGTCTTTAATCCATTTTAAGTTTATTCTTACATATAGTGTAAGAAAGTGGCCTAGGTTTGATTTTTGTTTTTTGCATGTATCTGTCTAGTTTTATCAACACCACTTTTTGAATAAACTATCTTTACCCTATTATATATTCTTGCCTTCCTTATCATAGATAATTGACCATATAGGCTTGGTTTTTCTTCTGGGCTATTTTCTTCCTTTGATGTATCTGTTTTTATGCCAGTAAGACACTGTTTTGATTATGATAGGCTTGTACATAGTTAGATACCATGTAGCACAATACCCCCAAATTTGTTCTTTCTCAAGATTTATATGGCTATTTGGGGTCTTTTGCAGTTCTCTTAAAAATTTAAGATTATTTATTCTAGTTATTTAGAAAGTACCATTGGTATTTTGAAAGGATTGCATTAAATCTACAGATTGCTTTGGGTAATATAAGCATTTAAGGAAAATTAATTGTTCTTATCCTGTGTGTATTTCCATTTATTTGTATCTTCTTTAATTTCTTTATTCAATGCCTTATAATTTTCTGAGTATGGGTTTTTTATCTTCTTGGTTAAATTTATTCCTAGGTATTGTATTTTACAGTTTTGATGCAATTGTAAGTGGGATTATGTTCTTAATTTCTCTTTTTGATAGTTCATATTTGTGTATAAAAATTCAACCAATTTCTGAATGTTAATTTTGTATCCTGCTACTTTACTGATTTTTTTAAATTAGTTCCAGTAGATTTTTGGTGAATCTTTATAGTTCTCTATATTGAGTATCATGTCATCTGAAAATAATGACCATTTTACTTCTTCCTTTCCAAATTATTATATATCTTTTTTTTTTTTTCTTGTCTTACTGCTGTGGCTAGTGCTTCCAATATCAATTTGAATACAAGTGGTAAAAATGTCATGTCCCTGATGTTAAGAAAAATGCTTTTACCTTTCCCTATTTACTCTGATGTTAGCTGTGGGTTTGTCTTATATAGCTTTTATGTTGAGATATGTTTCCTCTTTTTCTACTTTGCTGAGAGTTTTTATCATAAATGGATGCTAAATTTTGTCCAATGTTTTTTTCTGCATCTACTGATATGATAGGCATCTACTGCTTTTCATCATTTTTTTAAATGTGTTGTATCACATTGACTTCTGGATATTGAATCAATCTTGAATTCCAGAAGTAAATCCCTATTGATCATGGTGTATGATTGCTGAATTTGATTTGCTAATATTTTGTTGAGGATTTTTATATCTACATTCATCAGGGTTATTAAGCTGTAATTTTTTGTTTTAATTTTTTTTCTTTATCTGCTTTTAGAGTTGATTTTATAAAAAGAGCTTATAAGCTTTCCTTCCTTTATAGTTTTTTTGAAATTCTTTGAGAAAGTTAGGTGTTCATTTTTCTTTGAATATTTGGTAAAATTCACCTGTAAAAGCATCTAGTCTCGGAATTTTGTTTGTTGAAATTTTTTATTATTGATTTAATTTTGTTAATAGTTATCACTGTTCAGATTTCTGTGTCTTTATGATTTAGCCTTGGACATAGTATGTTTCTAGAAATTTATCTATTTCTTTTAGGGTATCTAATTTGTTGGCACATAATTGTGTGGTTTTATCTTATAATCTTTGGTATTTCTGTGGTGCCAATTGTCACTTTTTATGGTTTATTTTAAATGCATTTATTTCGGCCTTCTTTTTGTTTACTGATGCATGTGATTAAATGTTTACCAATTTTGTTTATTTCTTTCAAAGAACCAGTTATTGGTTTCATTGATATTTTGTTTTTTACTCTATTTTATTTATTTATTTCTACTTTGATTTTTATTATATGTTTTTCTCTTCACTTTTTTTTAAACATTTTTTATTTTATTTTATTTTTGTTACAGATGTTTCTCCTTTTTTACCCTCCTCCCTATCACCCGCACCCCGTCCCCGGTTTTGTTGTCCATGTCCATTGGTTATGTGTACATGCATATGAATTCTGTGGTTTATCTTTTCCCTCCACCCACCATCCCCTCTTCCAAGGGTTGACAATCTGAAACCTACTTCCACGTCTCTGGGTCTACCCTATTCCTCAGACTGTTATGTTCATTATAATTCCACAAATAAGTGAGATCATGTGGTATTTGGCTTTTTCTGCTTGACTTGTTTCACGTAGAATAATACTTTCCAGGTCTCTCCATGTCGTTTCAAAAGATTAAAAAATCTTTCTTTCTTACAGCTGCATAGTACTCCATTGTGTACATGTACTGCTTTTTTATCCATTCGTCTACTGATGGACATTTGGACTGTTTCCAGATCTTAGCTATTGTAAATAGTGCTGCTATGAACATGGGGGTACATATATTCTTTCTCATTGGTGTTTCAGGCTTCTTAGGGTATATTTCTAAAAATGGGATCACTGGGTCAAATGGCAATTCAATTTTTAAATTTTTGAGGTAACCCGATATTGTTTTCCATAGTGGCTGCACTAGTCTGCATTTCCACCAGCAGTGTACTAAAATCTCCTTTTCTTTACACCCTCACCAACACTTGTTTGATGATCTGTTGATGGCAGCCATTCTGACAGGTGTGACATGATACCTCATTGTTGTTTCAATTTGCATCTCTCAAATGATTAGTACTGTTGAGCATTTCTTCATATGTCTCTTGGCCATTTGTATGTCCTGTTTAGAGAGGTGTCTATTCAGCTCCTCTGCCCATTTTTTAATTGGGCTTTTTGTCTTCCTTTTGTTGAGTTGTATAAGCACTCTATATATTGTAAATTACCCTCTTACCTGATATATCATTGCAATGATGCTCTCTCATACAGTGGATTGCCTTTCCATTTTGGTGGTTGTATCTTTTGCTGTGCAGATTTTGAGTTTGATGTAGTTCCATGTGTTCATTTTTTTTCCCCTTTGTTTCTGTTGCCTTAGGTGATGTATCTGAAAATTTTGCTGTGTATGATATCTGAAATTTTGCTGCCTACATTTTCTTCTAGGATTTTTATGGATTTATGGGTCACATTTAAGTCTTTTATCCATTTTGAATTTATTTTTGTGTATGATGTAAGTTGATGGTCTAGTTTAATTTTTTGCATGTAGCTGTCCAATTTTCCCAACACCATTTATTAAAAAGGCTGTCTTTACTCCACTGTATGCTCTTGCCTCCTTTGTCAAATATTAATTGAGCATAATGTCTTGGGTCCATTTCTGGGTTTTCTGTTCTGTTCCTCTGGTATATATGCTTGTTCTTGTGCCAGTACCAGGCTGTTTAGATTACAGTGGCTTTGTAGCATAACCTGATATCTGGTATTGTTTTCCCACCTACTTTGTCCTTATTTTTCAAGATTGCTGTGGCTATTCAGGGTCTTTTTTGCTTCCATATGAACTTTTGAAGTATTTGTTCTAGTTCTATGAAATATTGTTTTCTTTGTTGTTGTTGTTGTTGATTTTTTTTTTCTCTTTCTTTTAGTTCCTTTAGGTATAATGATAGTTTATTTAATATCTTTCTTGTTTTTTGAAAAAAGCTTGTACTGCTACGAACTTAACTCTTAGAACTGCTTTGGCTGTGTCTCATGGCTTTTGAATCATTTTCATTTTTATTAAAATATCTTTTCTTTTTTTCATCTTATTGTTAACCCATTCATTGTTTAGTAGAATGTTATTTAGCCTCCATGTGTTGTTTAGTTTTCTGCTTGCAACTGATTTCTAGTTTTACACCACTGTGATCGAAGAAGATGCCTGATATTATTTCAGTCTTCTTAAATGAACTGAGACTTATTTTGTGGCTTAATATGTGATCTATCCTGGAAAATATTTCAGGTACACTTTAAAATAATGTATATTCTGCTGCTTTGGAGGTTAATTGTTCTAAAAACATCAATTATATCCATCTGGTCTAGTGTGTCATTTAAGGCCATGGTTTCCTTGTTCATTTTCTGTCTGGATGATCCATCCATTGATGTCAATGAGGTATTGAACTTCCCTTCTATGATAAGATCACTGTTTATTATTTTCTTTACACCTATCAATATTTGCTTTATATATTTAGGTGATCCTATTTTGGGTGCATAAATAATTCCAAGGGTCATGTCCTTTTATTGAATTGATCTCATTATCGTTATGAAGTGTCCTTTATTGTTTCTTTCTAGTCCCTGTTTTAGTCTATTTTGCCTGATATAAGTATTGTTACCTTAAATTTCTTTTTTCTTTCATTCCATTTACATTAAATGTCTTTTTACATCCCTTTACTTTCAGTCTGTGTGTATCTTTGGATTAACATTGGGTCTTTTATAGGCAGCATAAGTATGGGTTTTGTTTTCTTATCCATTTACCTACCTTATACCTTTTAATTGGAGGGTTTAATCCATTTACATTTAAAGTAATTATTGATAGGTATACAGTTTTTGCCATTTATTATTCATATTTTTGTTTCTTCTTCTTTTTTCTCTCCTTGTTGTTGTTGTTGTTCTTCTTCTTCTTCTTCTTCTTCTTCTTCTTCTTCTTCTTCTTCTTCTTCTTCTTCTTCTTCTTCTTCATCTTATTATTATTATTCAGAAGTTCCTTTAACATTCTTTGTAATACTGATTTGATGGTGATAAACTCCATTAGTTTTTTCTTGTGTGGAAAGCTCTTTTTCTCTTCTTTGATTCCATATTAAAGCCTTATTGGTTAAAGTAATCTTGGTTGTAGGTTCTTGATTTTTATCACTTTGAGTATTTTGTGTAAATTCCTTCTGGCTTGCAATGTTTTTGTTGAGAAATTTTCTAATAATCTTATAGGAGCTCCTTTGTAGGTAACTACTTTCTCTTCCCTTTGGAATGTCTCTCTTTGTCTTTAACTTTTGGCATTTTTTAAAAAAATATGGAATATTTCATAAATTTTCATGTCATATTTGTGCAGGGGCCATGCTAATTTTTTTGTATTGTTTTAATTTTAGTATATTTGCTGCCAAAGCAAGCACTGGCATTTTAATTACAATGGACCTTTGTTTGAGCCTCCTTGCATTTATCTTGTTTGGGACTCTCAGCATTTTTGAAACTTGTATATCTATTTTTCTTGCTGGGTTAGAGAATTTTACAGTTATTATTTTTTAAAATATGGTTTTAGTCCCTTGCTCTCTCCTTTTTCTGGTACTCCTATGATGTACATATTGGTACAATTGATATTGTTCCAGTGTCCTTACCATCTGGATAGAAAAAGAGCTCAGCAAAGAAAGAGTCTTGCCAGCAATTTTATCCCCAGAGAGATCTGCCTTATCCTCAGTCCCCCAGGCATTTTTCTGAAGCCAGACAATTAATTTCCTCCCAATATGTTCCTCTCCTGGAGCTAAGGGTGAATATTTGTGAGTGACAGAGGTGTGCTAAGGCCCTTTAAGAGAATGACTAGGACTACGGCAGCTTTCCATTTAACCTGGACAAAATCCCCATTAATTTTTATTACCATATGTCATGGGGACTTTTCTTCCTGGCAATGGTGCTCTGGTCTGGGGAGATGGGTGTGGGGCTGGGAACCCTCATTCTTCAGGGAAGACCTCCTCAGCCAAGATATTCCTCCTGACCCTTAACTGCCAAAAGTAGGTGTGGAACCAGCCTGTTTTATGATGTGGTCATAGGAGGAGGTGAGCCCAGCATTTACCTACTTTGGCATCTTGACTGGATGTCCCCCACTATTTTGTATCTTTATTGTGATGTTGTTTATACAAAGGCATGCATTTGTCAAAACTCCTAAAACGACATTCTAAAAAGGGTAAATTTGTTTCTGGCCTGTTTGGCTCACTGGTTGAGCATTGACCCATACACCAAGAGGTCACTGGTTTCAATTCTGGTCAAGGCACATGCCCAAGTTTTAAGCCAAATCCTCAGTAGGGGGCATGCAGGAGGCCAGTCAATGTTCTCTCTCATTGGTGTTTCTATCTCTTTCTCCCTCTACCTTACTCTCTCTAAAGCCAATAAAGAAAATGATGTTAAAAAAGAGGGTGAATTTGTTGTATAGGAATGAGACCTTAATAAACATGACTTTTTTAAAAAAGCATTCTAAAATAAGACTGAGGCCAATTATTTGGTGAAGTACTACACACAAACACATTTTGTAAAAACTGAATGTTGGACAGTAGACGGTAAAATGAATAAACTGTGTGATTTGGTTTAAGCTAAACTTGAAAAAAAATAACATTATGCTAAATAGAAGAAGTCAAACACAAAAGGCCACATGCTATATAATTTCATTAATATGACATTCTGGAAAAAACAAAATTATAGAAATAGGAATCAGACATCAAAGTTACAACTAAACTACAGAACAACCATCATTCAAAACCTGAAATCCAGCTGAATGGAAGTCCTACAACTACGGAATTAAAGAAGCAGTGGCATCAAGACTGGTAGGAGGGGCGACAACAGATGGGCTGGTCTCACACCCACCTGTGCAGATAAAAATCAGGAGGACACCTCGGCTGGGAAGGTCCTGCCTGAGGAATGAGAGGTCCCCATCGCACACCAGGCATCTCACTCAAGGTGCCAGTGCCAGGAAGAGAAGTCCCCATAAATTCTGACTGAAAAGACCAGCAGAAACTGAGTCTCAGGGAGGCTGAGGTGTCTGGAGCCCCAGGCAGCTCCTCTTAAAGGGCCCACACACAGACTTACTCGGACTTGCTCCCTCTAGGCTTGGAAGAAAGGCAACTCGAGGGGCACCAGAGACATACAGGAAGAACTGAGCTGTTTGGCATTGGAGCAAGGGCTGAAGAGGTGGCCTTCTCCAGGACAGACGTGCTGTCGGAGGCCGTTTTTCCTTTGGTGAGCCCTTCCCTGGGGTGGCAGACAGGTGCCATATCTGGGACTCCAGCAACCTGGATCACACTGGTTGCCCCACCCTGGTGATTCCCTGAGGCCCTGCCCCACCCAACTTTCAGGCCCACCCAAGCTGTTGCCATTTGCTTAATCATAGGATTGGCTTGTCTTGCATCCTGCTTCAGGTTTTCCTAAATTCTTTCAAACAACCAGCATCTGGTCTCAGATAGCCCCATACCTCTCGTTAAGTAATACACAGAAACAAACACAGAGAGGTAACCAAAATTAGGAGACAAAGAAACAGGTCCCAAATGAAAGAACAGAACAAAACCCCAGGAAAAGAACTAAGCGAAATGGAGATAAGCAACCTAACAGATGCTGAGTTCAAAATACTGCTTATAAGGATGCTGAATAAACTTAGTGAGGGCCTCAAGAGCATTACAAAAGTCCAGTCAGAAATGAAGGAGGCACTAGCTGAAATAAAGAATAATTTACACAGATTCAATGGTAGAGTAGGTAAAGCCAAGAACCAAACCATTGATTTGGAATACAAGGAAGCAAAAAACACCCAATCTGAACAGCAAAAAGAAAAAAGAATCCAAAAAATGAGGAGGGTGTAAGGAGCCTCTGGGACAACTTCAAGCATGCCAACATTCGCATCTTGGGGGTGCCAGAAGGAGAAGAGAGAGAACAAGGAGGCGAAACCTATTTGAAACAATAATGGCAGAAAACGTTCCTAACGTGGTGAAGAAACCAGACATACAAGTCCAGGAAGCACAGACAGTCCCAAACAAGATGAACCCCAAGAGGCCCACACCAAGATACATCATCATCAAAATGCAAAAGGTTCAAGACAAGGAGAGAATCTTAAAAGCAGCAAGAGAAAAGCAGTTAGTCACTTACAAGGGAATTTCCATAAGACTGTCAGCTGATTTCTGAAAAGAAACTTTGCAGGCCAGAAGGGAGTGGCAAGAAATATTCAGTGATGAAAAGCAAGAACCTATAACCAAGATTACTCTATCCTGCAAAGCTATCATTTAGAATCGATGGCCATATAGAGTTTCCCAGACAAGAAAAAGTTAAAGGAGTTCAGTACCACCAAACCGTTATTATATGAAATGTTGAAGTACCTTTTTGAAGAAAAAGATAAAATATACTAACAAACAAAATGGCAATGAATACATATCTATCAACAATGGAATCTACAAACAAAATGAACAGGCAGAACAGAAACATTCTCATAGATACAGAGAACCTTTGTGGGTTGCCAGATGGGAGGGGGGTTGGGGGAATGGGTGAAAAAGGTGAAGGGATTAAGAAGAACAAATTGGTTGCTATACTGACAAACCTTAAAGAGAAGGAGGTTCGTGGGTAGGAAGAAATTAACCAAAGAACTTATATGCATAATTAATGGACACAGACAATAGTGTGGGAAATGGTGGTCTGGAGGTGGGAGTGGGGAGGAGGGGGTCAATGGGAGAAAAATGAGGAACATCTGTAAAAAAGAGAAATAGGAATCAGATTAGTGGCTGTCACAGGTTGAGAATGGCAGACAGAATTGACAACAGAAGGGCACAGGGACATATTTGGGTGATGACATTGTTCTGTATCTTGATTGTGTTGGCAGTTACATGATTGTTTGTCCTTGTCAAAGCTCACTGAACTGCACAATTAAAAGGGATAACTTTACTGTATGTAAATTCTGTCTCCAATTATGTAAATTACATATACCTGTCTTTTTCAGAAAGTAGGCTGAGTAAAAAAAAATTATTAAAGAAATAACCATATAAATGGTGTGCAGATATGGAAAACATTGTAGTGGTAGGATAAAATTAAGTACATTTTGAAAAGACTTAGTTCCGCCCTGGCCGGTTTGGCTCAGCGGTTGGAGCGTCCGCCTGCGGTCTGGAGAGACCGGGGTTCGGTTCCCGCTAAGGGCATGTACCTCGGTTGCGGTTTGTCCCCGGCCCTGGTTGGTCGTGCGGGTGGCAGCCACTCGATGTGTCCCTTTCACATCGATTTTTCCCTCTCTCGTTCTTCCTCTCTCTCCCTCCCACTCTATCTGTACAAAAAAGATGGAAGAATGTCCTCGGGTGAGGATAAAAAAAAAAGAAAGAAAGAAAGAAACAAAAGACTTAGTTCCATTTACTTCTCTGTCTAGAAAAAAAAATCTGAGAAAATCAGTAGATAGTCTACTGTCTCCCATTTAATCTATGTATTTTAACCTTTTTGTAGTTTGTTCTAGGATAACAATTAAAATATTAATTAAAAGAAAAAAACTGGTGGCAGAGTATAAGCTACACAGACCATTTTCCAGAACCAAACTGGAATTACAACTAAAGTAAAGGCAAATCATAAGACGAAAACAACTGAAAAGGAGCTAAAAAGAATCCATATGACCAGGGAAAGAAAGAGAACACAGAATTGTGCCTGATAGAAACTGTGGAGGCATAAAAAGGTGGACTGAAAGCCCATGGACAGCAGCTGAGGGCTGATTTAGCTGTGAACAGTTTTTGCTGAGAAGGCAGTGGTTAAAAGAGCACCAAATCAGCTACAGCCACTCATCTTGGGCTCCAGCAGAGGGAAGATGGACTGGACTGGCACCATGTAAAGAAAGCCAGAGATACATGACTCAGGGGAGAGAACTAGGATGGAGGACACTGGGAGTTTTATGCTGAATCACTCCCTCATAGGACAGTAGTCATATTACTCAAAAAGCCCCTTCCCAGGGCCTCCAGAAAAAGCAATGCCCCTGCCCCCAAAATTTAACACCACCAGGCCAGGCCAGAGAAATGCAAATTGAGGGTCATTACCAGCTGGAGTCTGAGAGTAACCAAGTGCCCCAACTACTGGATTTTTAATCAAGTGAGGGCTACATATTGAGGCTCATCAAGTAACTGAAACTAATAGCCTGCAGAAAAAAGATAGAGGATAACTGAACCTTTGCTTGGCTTGCAAATGAGAGGAAGATTTGACAGTGGTGTTTAATGTGGATCCTCCCCCAATCATTCAAACCACTAGAGGAAACCATAACCAGCAGAACACCAACACCCACAGGAAAAATTGGGCAGGCTCCAAAACCAACTGAGACAGCCAAAATGGTGAAACAAAAAAAAAAACACAAATCCCAAATAAAAGAACAAGAAAATTTTACAGAAGAGATAAATGAAA